TCCTTTCCCCCATCCCCACTGCCAGCCTCCAGATAAAAACTGGACCCCAAGACTGGCAGCGGAAGCTATGAATCTTGCCTCTCCTGCTGCCAGGCATCCACAATTCCCTTCATCAGGTGGCGCCACAGCTGGCTTTGCTGGACAGTTTCCCTGCCAGTTTCCACCTTATCCCAAAATGTCTTTCAGCCTTCTAGATCCTCAAATATGATGGAATATGATCATGTTCCAGCTCAGAGTGCATCTCCTCTGCAAATCATCACCTCCCTCCCCACACCTGACGCATCTTTTATGCACCCAGATGCAAGCCCCAGTGAGACACCATTAATGAGACTCAGTTCCGGACTGGAAACCCCTTGAGGGCCAAGATTCAGACTTGTTCCTGGAGCCATTCCTAGCACACAAAGTCCCTCTGTGTGAGTTACACAAAGGCACTTCCAACCCCAGGATGAACAAGAAAGAATGTGCCCCCTCCTCTGGGCTGACAGAGCCCTGAGATGATGGCCCATAGAACCTGGCAGGATTCCTGTCCCGTTTGCTCTCTCTACCTGAGCTGCTCTGTGCAGGGCATGACCTGTGAAACCAAACCCCTTTCCTACTTAGTTGCGTCTGCCTCCTGCGCAGTGTTTGAAGGGATGGCTTCCTAAAGGAAGGGAGGTCATGAGCAGGGAGAGATAGACAAATGAGGGAGCACCCTCAGAACCCCAGGAGGTAGGGCTGAGGTGGGGCTTCACCTTTCTTGGATGGATTCTGAAGCCTAAAGTGAGGCTAAAAGAAGGGGGTCCAATGTCTGGGCATGGTGGCTCATGCCTGTAATCCCAGAACTTTGGGAAGCTAAGGCAAGAGGACTGCCTGAGCCCAAAGGTTTGAGAAAAGCCCAGGCAACATGCCGAGACTTAATCTCTATAATAAATCAAAAAAGTTAGCTGACCATGATGGTGCCCACCTGTCATTCCAGCTACTTGGAAGGCTGAAGTGGAAGGATTGCCTGAACCCAGCAGGTGGAGGTTGCAGTGGCTGTGAGCACGCCACTGCACTCCAGCCTGGATGACAGGCTCCAACTCAAAAAAAAAAAAAAAAAGGAAGAAGAAGAAGAAGGGTGTCCAACTTCATGGGGAAGAAGCTGCAGGAGGTGGGGGGAAGTGGGAGGACAGATGTGCTTTCACAGGGAACAGAAATTGGCAGGGGCAAGTGGAGAGGAGTCAGGAGGAAGTGCGGCCCATAGGGTCCCATGGAATTTCCCCCAGGGGGTCCAGGCTTTCCCTCTGGGGTTTCACCCAGCCACTCCTGGTCCCATGGTGACAGTTGTGCCAGACTCCAGTGGGAGCTCAGATTGAAGTCTTGTCTCTGCTTCTCCAGCAGGTGGCAGCTGTACCCAGGACCCAGTGCCTACAGAGAGCTGGACACCCTTCTCCCCCCATACTGGCAGGCCCGAGGCCAGGTGACTAAAGTTGCTGCTGACCCTGGCAGGCCCAGGAAAGATCGATGGCAGGGACATTGCTGGGGCTGGCCAACTCGTCCATCGATTTCCATTTAGGAGAATAATTAAATATTAATTTTCACTTTATTAAGCTGGGGAGAGTGAAGAGAGTCAATCCTGCCAGTACCAGAGGAAACCAGGCCACGGTGGGGACCTGCAGATGAAAGAGTAGAAGGGGGAAGCTGTCCCCAGTCACAATTCTCTCCAGAACCTAAGACCCCTGTCTGGTACCAGGTTGGATCAGGTAACAGTGCAGTGGGTAAGTGAATGAGTTCTGGAGCCAGATTAACTGGCCTCAAATTTCAGATCTTGCCACAGTAGTTATATGACCTTGGGGAAGTCACTTGATTTTTTTCTAACGAGAGAGAGAGCTGGGCATGGTGGCACGCACCTGTAGTCCTAGCTACTCAGGAGGCTGATGAGGAGGACTACTTGAGCTCAGGAGCTCGAGGCTGCAGTGATCCATGATCATGCCACCACACTCCAGTCTGGGCAACATAGTGAGACAATGATCCCCAAAATAAAAAATAATATATAGAGAAGGGGTCTCATGATGTTGCCCAGGCTGGTCTTGAACTCCTGGGCGCAAGCAATCCTCCCGTCTCAGTCTCTCAAAGTGCTAGGATTACAGAAATGAGCCACTGAGCCTGGCCCACTTGATTTCTATGACTCAGTTTCCTGAGTAAAATAGGAATAGTAATAACTTTTTTTACAGGGGATTAAATGACAAAACATGCAAAGTGCTAGAAACACTGACTATATTGCTTTTCTTCCTCAGAAATTCTCCCAGTCCCCTAAGGTCTTCACAGTCCTGGTCTCCAGCACCCTCAACCTCAGAGAACTCCCCAGGAACCCCTCATCTAGCAGAGCCCTGAGTTTCATGGAGGAGAGTCTTTTTTCTTCCAAAGTTCATCTTAATTTTTTTTAGTGCTTTTCATTTGCTTTTGGGATAAAGTCCAAGCCCCTCATCCTGGCATTCAAAGTTTCCTCTTCAACCACTGCCTTCTGTAGAGCTTCTCTCCAGTTTGGACCATGACCACATGGGTCTACCCCAGAGTCTCAGTGCCATGTCACAGCCACCTGCTCCTTCCTTCTGTCTCTGTGCCCTTGCCACACTGCTTCCCACACAGAACGTCACAGCTTGTCTCATTGGCTCAGTTCAGCAGAAGTCATGTGCTCTCATGGTTAGATGAATGATGCCTTTTCATACTCCTACTAATGCTGCTGTTACTATTACTGTTACGATCACTACCACCACCAGCTAACCCGTTTTTCTGCCAAGAAGTGTTAAGCACCTTATATAACTTCACTCATTTAACCATTCCCACAACCCTATGAGTTTCAGTTATAAAGATGAGAAAACTGAGGCTTAGCGGTAAAGATTTGCCCAAGGTCAGAGCTGGTGAGTCGTGGGGCCTGGATTCATGCCGAGGTCTGTCTGACCCCAGAGCTGCACACAGAGGACGAGTGACAGTGAGAAGCTGGTGCTCTTGGGCCCTGGGCCCCCAAGAGCGAGGCTCGAGGTGCTTTAGTTACTGAGATTGGTTTTAGGTTCTGACACCCCAGTATTGACTTTTTTCCTTTTTCTGCTTCTTCTTTTTTTGAGTTTTCACTCTGTCACCTAGGCTGGAATGCAGTGGCATGCCTCTGTAGCAAGCCACAGCCTCGACCTGCTGGCCTCAGGTGATCCTTTCACTTCAGCCTTCCAAGTAGCTGGAACTACAAGGGGGCACCATGACACCTGACTAATTTTTTGACTTACTGTAGAGATGAGGTCCTGCCATGTTGCCCAGGCTGGTCTTGAACCTGTGGGCTCAAGCAATCTCTTGCCTCAGCACCCCAAAGTGCTAGGATTACAGGCGTGAGCCACTGCACGAGTGTCTTCTCTCCTTTTCCTTTTTCTCCTCCTTCTCCTGTTCCTCCTCCTCCTCCTCTTCCTCTTGTTCCTCTCTCTCATTCTCGTTTTTGACAGGTTTTTGCTCTGTCACCCAGGCTGAAGTGCAGTGGCAAAATCATGGCTCACCACAGCCTCAAACCCTGGGCTCAAGCGATCCTACTCCTTCAGTAGCTGGGGCTACAGACATGCCACCACACCCGGCTAATTTTTCTACTTTTTGTCTCGCTTTGTTGCCCAGGCTGGTCTTGGACTCTTGGCCTCAAGCAATCTTCCCACTTTGGCCTCCCAAAATGCTTGGATTACAGGGGTGAGCCACTGTGCTCAGCTCCTAGCAACAGCTTGATCAGCTCATGGCAAAGCCTGCTCTATTCCTGGTCAGCTCCAATTCAAAGAAGGGACTTCTTTATACTGAGCTGAAGTTAGTGTCTGTTCTTATATTCACAGATCCTGATCCTGCCTTCTGGGCCATGCATAAACAAACAAATCCTTCTCCAGAATCCTAAGGGGGTTACCCCCTCCCCAACAGTAACACTGTTTGAGATCTTGCTCTGTGGCAGGCACATGCTAATTTGCAAGTAATCCTCATCATCCTCATATACAAGAAAATTGAAACTCAAGAGTTCAATGAATGTATCTTAAGACACAGAACTGGGATTCGAACTCGGGTCAGTGAGACTTGAAAACTAGTACTTTTAAATATTATATGATGATGCCTTCCTATTAAAGTCTTACTAAACCCCACTTCTCCAGCTAAATGTTCCCAGTTCCTTCAAGCTGTCATCCCACAATACATTGTGTGTCCTTACTTCATCCTGGTCTCTTTCTGGTAGGTTCATGACCCTCTTAAATCTGGAGCCTAGAACTGGACATAACTCCAGGTTTGGCCCCTCATGCATTTCAGTAGCTGTCTGTTCTGACGCACCACTCATTGGACTCAAGAAAATGAGGCTGTCTAGCATGACTTGCTCCTGGAGAACCCATGCTAGTGCCTCACAGTCACCACTTCTTTCGACTACATGATCAGAGGGTACCACTTTGTCTTTTCTCCTGATTACCCATTAACCAAGACCAGACCAGGTACCATTCACGCGCAAAAGCTCGGCTACCCAGAGAGTTGGGTCTCCTCTAACTTTAGCCAAGTCTTTGCAGTGTGGAGGGAAGACAGTCTTTGTGAGTCAAAGCACCATGCCTCCCCCCCAAAAAAAAATCACAGGAAGAGGACTAGAGGAACGTGCCATCAAGGAACTTAGGACTGGAGAAAATGGGACACCACCCCAGCTGAGTCTCCAGACCATTTACCTGCTCACACCAGTGACAAATGACACTTGAAACCATGATTTTAGCCAAGGCGAACAAACTCTAGCTTAGCCCACAACACTGACGCTTCTCCTATGAGATAGGGTGGAACACCTGGCCTAAAGGTCTTGAGCACATTTTTTTGAGACAGAAGATTGAGTGCCATAGGAACTTGAAGCTGCTCAAGGCACAGACAAGCCCTCCCCTGGAAGGATGAGTGTGCTTCTAGCTCCTAGTTGCAACTCAGCCCCCATGGGCTGCTTTGGCATGCACACAGGGCATCATCCCCCACCCAAGGTGCTTCCATTCCCCCAACCCTAGAGAACTTACCCCTGGCAGGGTCTTCTGCTCGTGCAGTGCACTCTGGGCCTTGAGAGCAGAGTCTCGGGCGCAGTAGGTGAGGAAGGCACAGCCTGAGGAGGAAGAGGCTGGCTCAGGAAGTTTTCTGAAGCCCCCAAATGCTCTTCTTTGAAAGACTCCATTAAGTTGACAGAATGAAGGCCACTCTCCTTGGAACAAGGACCCTGCTTCTAAAGAAACTTCTCTGCCTCCCAACTTCTCTAGGGAGGGTCTTCATGCAGCTGGGGTCCTGTGTCACAGACTCTGGCTCCCTTTCACTGTTCCTGGCCTCTTGCCCACACCCTGTCACATGCTTATACAAACTCGCATCTCCTCAGTTCACTCCAACCATGGTCCTGTTGAGGTTAAATCTCCCTGAGGAACTTTCCCTTCATCTCGAACACAGACATCCCCTTTCTTTTTGGATTCATACTCATGGAGTCTCCTAGAATCGGCCTCAATTACTTTCCAACCCTCCTCAGGTAGGAGGAGGCAGAAGACGGAAATAAGGGTTGGGGCCAACCCCAGGGATCTCCAGCCCCAAGCTGGAAGGCAAGGAATGGATTGGTTTGAGGCTTAGAAGATGGGGCTGGTTTAAAGGCCTCCCCCAGGTGTGAGCTTCCAGAATCCCCTAAACCTGCCCAAGGAGTTTGATCTGTCAACTCTCTCAGGGCTTCAAGATGGGGCCTCTTAAAGGGTTATTGTGCCCCAAATCTTGCTCCTCTAAAAGGGCCAGCAAATATGGGGCAGGAAAGGGACCTGAGTTGAGCCAGAGGGTCAGGCCTATCCCTTCTTTGCTCAGTCCCAGGACCTGTAGTCTGCTAGGAAGCACTGAAGCAAGGATTCCTTATTTTCCACAGTCACTGGGCACTCATTCATTTAGAAAATATCTATGGATCGCTTATTTATTATGGTGAGGCATTATAATGGGTTTGGAGATCGTGTGGCAATAAGACAGACACCTCTCTTGTCCTCATGGGGATTAGAGAAGAAATTGGGGAGGACACCTGGTTGGGTCCAAAGCATTAGGAATGTCTCAAAGAAGACACGAGTCCACAGGAACAAGAACATTGAGTCCTTAAGAACCAGATAACACAAAAGGTGGTGATAATTTCAGAGAACAGCATATGCAAAGACTAAATATAAAATTCAGTGTATTGGGGAGATGGGGAGAAGGCGAGAGTGCTTGGAGGCTGGCAGGCAGGGCAGAGTGACCAGCAAGGCATGCAGGCATTGAATCTTATGAAGCACGGAAGGCCTCTGTTGGGTTTTGTTTTTCATGAGTGCAATGGAGAACCACTCCAAAGGGTTTAAAGCAGATTGTTACACAATTAGATCTGTGTTTTTAAAAAGAGCCTTCTGACAACCAGGCATTGTGGTGCACACCTGTGGTTCCAGCTACTTGGAAAGCTGAGGCAGAAGGATCACCTGAACCCAGCAGGTTGAGGCTGCAGTGGCCATGATTGTGTCACTGCACTCCAGCTTGGGTGACAGAGTGAGGCTCTGACAAAAAAAAAAAAAAAAAAAAAAAAAAAAAGAGCTTTCTGAGTGTAGGGGGACCGAAGGAAGAGATGTGGGATGCCATTAGGAACTTGGTGCAGTTTTCCACTTAGACCTCAGCCCTCAGCAGACTAGAAAGGCAAATGGGAACACTTTTTTTCTGATATTTTCCATGTGGCTGTCCCCTTAAGATGGGTTGACTGTCTGCCATTCATTGAGTTAAAGGGACCTGGGAGAACTCCTGGGCCAAACTCTTATTATATCAACAGGGAAACTGAAGCCCAGAGAATGCGTCAGTGGCAGGACAGGGTTTGGAATTTCCCAACTCCCAGGCTGGAGTTGTTTTCAAAGCACCATATCTCAATACCCAGCCATCAAGAGGAAAATGAGTCACTTCAGTTTTCAGACGTCACTGTTGTTGGGGAGAGGATGAGTAGATGTTGACTTGGAGACCCTCCACAATCATCTTGCAAAGTGACACTTGCTTTGGAGAGCTGTGGGTTGGCTTGGAAATAAATCACCAAACACCTGATTCCACTGACATTCCTGCTCTGTCTTCTACCACCAAGCCACGTCATCTGATGTCAGAACCAGGCAGGGGTGCCTTTCTGAAAGGCTCACGGGCTGCCTAATGAGATCCTGTGTGAACTACGGGATGGGGATGGAAGAATGAAGGGAAGAAAAGACAGAGAAACACAGCTTGAGAAACACATGAATGAAAAAAACCAACAAACAGTAAGAATTAGAGCTAAATGGAGAGAGAGGATGAGGGGAAAGTTCAGAGATTCTGATAGTGTTTGAGAGAGAATTCAAGGTATTCGATCCATTTCCCTTATTGTGCAGATGGCCTACAAAGATTGCCTTTGTACTTACATCTGAGATCAATGTCTAGAAAATAAGAAAACAAGTTGCTATAGAAGGATGGACAGACAGGCAGGAAGGCAGCTGGACTGAATCAGAAGGAGTCTGGATGCTGTAGTCTTGTCCTTTCATTCTTCCTTTAACATAACCACAACCCAAAAAGTGGAAGCTGCACCCCTATCCAGATGGTCTCAGCCTTTCTATGGGCATTTTCTCGAAGCCCCTTTATTAGTGTGTTAAAGGAACCCCACAAGGCCTCCCATTTGAAAAGAGGTGGTGGTCTGGCTCCAGTTCTCTGCCCTTAAGAAGGTACCTTCAGCTGTTACCCAAGGCCCACCACTCCTCTCTTAGGAAGATCATGGAGGAGAGTTGGTGACCCTTCCCCACAAAAACCTGAAACCACAGCATGGTGGTGGTTGGAGGGCAGTGGGGGAAAATAAGGGTGTTTCTCCTCAAATCATCTCCCCTTCTTCTGCCCATGCACAACATGTAACTCTGGCTCTTACTCCAGCCCTGCCTGGACAGACTTTTCTGCATGTAAACAAGCCTCCTCCCTCTCTCTACAGGAAGAAAGGGGTGTGGCCGGACAGGACTGTGGTGCCTCTGTCTCTTTAGCAAGGGTGGGGAGAAGGTCCCCTTCTGCCTCTTCAGCCTGACCCACCCTGAGAGTGCTCTGGTCTGGGACCAGCCTGTGAAGGAAGGAAAGAAGGAAGTCGTAAAGAGGATTGGGGAGGAGCAAAGAAGAGGTGCAGGAGCCTGGGGATTAAGGGATGAAAGAAGTGTGGATTCAGCTGAAGGAAACCTAAGATGAAGGGACACAGAGTGGCAGGAATTCCCAACTGAGGTCACCGTTACAGATTCAAATCAGAAGAGGTGGAGAGTGTTGAGATTCTGGCAAACGGTAGGAGAGATCCGGGTTCGTGTCAAACATGAGGGGGATATTTGAACTGAGGGCCCCGTGGGAGGTGAATTGAATTTTGTGAGTTAGTCAGGCCTGGGATCTGAAGAAGGGGAGAGTTTGGGTCTGTGGGGTTTTAGGTTGGCAGTCTGAGAGTCAAAAGAAGGCTCTAGGGTTGACTGGACTTGGAGGCCAGAAGGAGGGGTACAAGTCCAAAATAAGCGTGTGGGTGGAGAGGCCTGGGTTGGGTGGCTGGCACCAGAGGGAGGGTTCAGGAATGCTTGGGTCCAGGGATTGGGAGACTGAGAGTATTCGAGATCTAGAAGATGGAATAAGTTTCCACATTCCAAAATTTGGGATATCTGATGAGAGGGATAGCAGAGAGGTTCATCTGAAAGACGGGGACTGTTGGGGTGTGAGAGGTCGAGAATTTGGAGGCTGAGGATTTGGAGGTTAGAGTGGAGCGCCTATTAGGGCACCAGAGTGATGACCAGAGGGAGGAGAGAAAATTCTGGGTTAGGGGCTCTGCGATCTGGGAAGGGGGCTGGGCTGATGCGGGGCTGACACTGGACTGGTGTTAGACAAGCTCTAGGTGGGGCTGGGGCTGGGGCTGGGGTTGGGCCGGGCCGCACTCTAATCGGATTGGGGCTGCTGGGCTGGGCTGGGCTGGGCTGGGCTGACCCCGCGCACCTTTGTGGAGGCCGGTGAGCCGGTCCTTCAGCACCGTCAGCTCGTAGATGCGGCCGAACTCCTCGAACAGCGGCTTGAGGTCCTGCTCGTCCAAGCCCCGCGGGATCTGCCCCACGAAGAGCTTGATGGCGTCGTGGTCCTTCATGGGCACGGCGGGACCCGGGTTGAGCCCGCTCATGCCGACGCCGCTGTCCGCGGTGCTGAAGCCCAGGCGCGGGCCGGGGC